AGTGTAATAAAAAAATGAGCGGGGGGGGGGGGTTTGGTCCTAGACACTCCCGAGCAGATAAACAAAAATTATTATTCCAACAGGAATAATCACCATTTCCCCCCAAAAGTGTCTGACTCCACCTGTAGACGAGGCATGGTTGCCTGATCTCGCTGTTTGGTTCCTTTATTGTTGAATAAAACACTATAGGTAGATGAGGTAGATTAAAGATTACAAGCATGAGATCTGATTTACTATTTACAATGTGATACAAAAAAAAAAGTATATCTACTGTTCATCCATCTTGCTAAGAGAAACAACTTGGCATGGAAACATTAGTATATACCTGTCTCCCATCTTGTCCAACATTTGTCTGGCCTCGTACCACACCTCTGATGCTGTCATCTAAACGCCTGGAGTGGGAAAACAAAAGAAAACATGAAACCATAAGTAACCTTTGCAGTATCAGCACTCCATTCAAATAAGATGGCAATAGGCATTGTTGGCACTCAAAGGACTTCCATAGGCGAACACGGGAGGGCAGTATAGTAGCTTTATTGCACTGACGTGCAATAAAAACATTTTGGTTCTTTAAAGCTCACCTTTCTTGATGAAACATCAATGCAATGAAGCTACTATCCTGTCCTCCTTGTTCACCTTTGGAAGCCTGTGTGTGATTGATAGATATATATAGAGATAGATATATATAGAGATAGATATATATATCCAGATCACCTCCCAGGTGCTGTGTAGTATCTGAACCCCCTGGTGGTGGGACAGAGTAGTGGGTTTGAAATATTTCCCACTACCCCGTTCCACCAGCAGGGGGCTCAGGTACTGCACAGCACCCAGGACACACAAAGCTTTCTCTCTACAGCACTCTTGTGGTATCGCACTCAGGAGGGTCTACAGCAACCCAACCCAACCTGTGTGCCGTCATCATCATCAACTCAACCCAACCTGTGGGTCTGAAATTGGAGGACAGCCCATCTGCTAAACATTCTGCCCACAACCCCATAAATTAATAAGAAGAGATAAGTCCCAGCTCATTATAAATATTGATGGCGGGAGGGATATTGAATCACCTGGTGCCAATCTTCATTAATCTGCCAATTATGCAAAATGGGAGGAGCACATCATGAATGGAACACATCAATGATGATTGTATGTACTAAGTCTTGATGTGTAAAGGGCTGACTGCTAAGTGTCTGAGTCACAGCTGATCCAAAGGAGGAAAAAATATTCTAAGTCCCACTTTTACTCACAATCAATTATCTTTTTTTATATATATATACT